GGCAGCCGAACCCCGCGGGCCGGTGGGCGCACAGTCGGTCCAGGGCAGCGTGGAGCTCCGGGTAGGCGGACGGAGCACCTCCGGAGGAATAGTTTGCCGGAGCCCCGGCCAGGGGTGGGCCAAACAGGCAGGGCCCCGCGGGCAGGGGGCTCCCGTGACGCTGGTCGTAGCCCATGCTGATGCCGCTAGTACGATTGCTGCAGGGCCGGCTACCTCCGGCTCCGCCAGCCCCTGCCCCGTCCAGCAGCAGGCTGCCCCGGGGGCTGGACGGCTTGCTCGCGTCGCTGGCTGAGCTGCTGGCGAAGCTGGAACGGGGGCTTAGGGCTGGGGCCGTGGTCTCCAGGCGAAAATCAGGGGGCAATGACTGAGGTAGAGGCAAGGCCCGAGAGGGCGGCGGCGGCCCCCCGGGAAAGGAGCCTTCGTAGCGCCGCACCTCAAAGGAGCCGCGCGGATTCCGCTCAGCGTCCAGGGGTCCTTGCTCCCGGGCTGGCTCCAACGGCTCATCCCCAGGTCCCCCAGTAGCTCCTCGGGGCCCTGATTTTCTAGGTGCCCCCAACCCACTAAGGCGACCCTTGCCCGTCCCGGGGGTCCCATCAGACCCGGACCGGCTAGATTCACCCTTTCTGCGGCCGAACTTCTCCAGCAGACGACTGGCTTTCTCCCCTAACCGCTCCATGTCCTCGGGCTTGGGGCCTCCAGCCCCCTCCCCTCCCGGCACCCTGTCGCGTCTCGACGGCCGCTTCGCTTTCCCTGCGGTGGGACTCCTGTTCCTCAGGCGCACGGGGTAGGCGCAGGGGTTCAGCGGGACGTCCGGATGCCCGACGCCAGAAATCCCGCAGCATCCCCCAGCGGGAGGGGCTGCGTCCCCCCGCGCATCAGGGATTAAGCGGAGCTAGAAGGGCCTATAGCCGTGGCTGTCCCGTCCGCAGGTCTATCTGTTCACGCGTCGACTCGCCAGACCGCCCCGCTCTCCCCGGCCCCCGCCCCCCCTCGCTCTCACACTCTGCACAGACCGAACTTCTCCCCCAAACTTTTGTCTGCCCGGCCGGATCTACTTTCCAGGAAGGGCGGAGCGCTGTGTGCACGAGAGCGACCCGGTGTCTGCGCAGGGATCTTTAGTGCTGGGGGGCGGGCGGCGCCGGTGTAACTGCCCGGAGATGGAGATCCGCCGACGGGACGAGAGAGGAGGGCGACGGGCAGTTCGGGCAGCTGCGACCACAACACTCAAGAACTGAAACAGGAAAGAGTGTGGAGGGAGAGGGGAGGGGACTCTTTGTTTGCTGTTGGAATGCGCGGAGGGGCACGGTGGAATGTCGCGGTACAGACGGAACGGTGGAAGGCAAGTTGTACGCAAACACGGTGACTTTGTTCCTAGTGTGGGGACTGTGGGAGAGAAAGTGGTACAGAAGTGGCAAGACAGGGAGAGAGCTACAAAGTGGAAAACGGAGAGGAAAAAAGAAAGGCAGATAAATAAAGAGTTTCCGAGCCGTGTTCGTAAAGATAGCCTTGAAAGGCGAGGAAGCCCACTGAGAGGTAGAGGACAGGTAGCGAAAGAACTGAGATGGGCGCAAAGGTGGGGGGCGGCGGTGCGGAGACCGGAGGATGCACAAAGACAAGCAAGAGTTCGTGTAGAAAGAATGAGAGACAAACATAGACTGTAGTGAAAAGACACCACTTTTTGGATCCAAAGCTCAGTGATGGTGGAGTGGGAGGGAGGGAGATTTACCGTGTTTGTAATAGCAGTGAAAAGAGAGTAAAAGGTTTGGGACTAATCTCTAAAGAGAGAGGAGGGAGACAGTGTGTTTGTAAAAACAGCGAAAAGGAGTAAGGAAAGGTTTGGGACTAATCTCTACCTTAGTGGTAGGACAGATAGAGGGATAGACGGACACCCCCTGGTGTTGGGAAATGAGATTTTTAGCAAATATTTCAGGTGACTATGGGTTTGGAAGGCTTGGTTTTAGGGTTAGCGAACACCTCTCCCCTGTTGAGTGGCCCACAGGAGATTGGTGATAAAGAATAAGTAGTAATTTAAGAGGAAGAAAAGAAATGCCATTTAGAGGAAATAGCAAGTGAAAATAATCAGGATGGAAAAAGAAAAGAGGCTGATATTGGCCAAACTAGAAGGAAAAGAAGAAACCCTGGCTGAAGCTAAACATACCAAATTAAATTCCAGCCAACTGATTTTTCTGAGACTAGCACATCGAGGGCAAGGGGCGGAGAAAGTAAAATGGAGAAGTAAAATGACTCCTTTGTATTTAGATAGTAAATGAGTATGAAAATGATATGCAGACAAATACATATTATTTTCATCTCAACATTTAGAACACTTGTTTATAATTTTAGTGCAGCATTAGGAAGTAGGGAAGGAAAGGAGGTTGATTTGGCACAAATTATTTGGCTGCTTTGTCCTTGCTGCATTGTCTCCCTGACCTCATCTCTCCTGAGAATCAGCCTTTCTGTTTCCCTGGTCAAGCCTACAGCTTTTCTCTGATCCTGAGGAGAGTTTATTATTGGACTGGAAGCAGGGAGGACTGAAAGCAGTAGTAACAGAAGGGAGCTGTCAGGTTGCATCTAGAAACTGCTGTGAGCACCATCTTCAGGATTAAACATACTTTCCTGTCTCCACATGGCAAAGGAGAACTTGGATTCTTCCTTCCAATTACTTACATCCAAAATATCCTCACAGGGGCCGGCCTGTGGGCTCACTCGGGAGAGTGCGGTGCTGATAACACCAAGGCCACAGGTTCGGATCCTATATAGGGATGGCCAGTTGGCTCACTGGCTGAGCGTGGTGCTGACAACACCTAGCCAAGGGTTGAGATCCCCTTACCAGTCATCTTTAAAAAAAGAAAAAAGAAAAAAATATTCTCACAGGGCTGGCCAGTGAGCTCGCTTGGTTAGAGCGTGGTGCTGATAACACCAAGGTCAAGGGTTGAGATCCCGATATTGGCTAGCCCCTCCCCTCCAAAACCCCACAAAATATCCACACAGCCTCTAATATTTGGAAGCTTTGATCCTTTGGGGTGAGGATGGGTGAGTAAATCTTATGAAAAATTGAGAAGCCATTCAAGAAGGCCCATCCAGGAGTTGGTGGAGGTGACAATGGGCACAGTTAGGGGATGCAGCCTGTGTTTTAAGGGAATAACAGGAAGCAGAGACATGAAGGGAAAGAAGGGTACACTGATAGGGCATACTCCAGTAGTGCACATGTCCTTGGGGTAGCCATTCTACAGTCTGAATTGGAGCTGGGAGTCCCACAAGTCCTCTTCATCCCCAAGACTTTTAATTACAATCTGTATATACAGATGACTCTCTAATCCGTATCTCTAGCCTAGACTTTCTAGGACTAAAAAACTCAACTGACTACTAGCATCTCCACTTGGTTGTCTCAGAGGCACCCAACACCCTAAAAAGAGCTCATCTTCCCTGCCTCCTGAAACTGGCTCCTCCAGCATTCCATGAATAAATGGCACCATTAACCACTTAGCTGCTTAAGCCAGAAACCTGAGCATCAACCCTATGTCCCCCTTCTCCCTTGACCTCAAATCCAACCACATCCTATAAGAAGCCCTGTCAATCACCAAGTCTTATCAATTCTGCTTACTAAATATCTTTTAAATCTGTCCTCCCCCATCACCACTATATATGTCAGGCCATCATCTTTTATCTCCTAAACCAATGCAAAAGTTCCTCGGCCAAGACTTGCTCCCTGCAATCAATCTTATACCCTGAGGTCAAGTGATTGTTCTAATACATAAAACCAATCATTTCATTTCTCTGCTTAAAACCTTTCAGTGTTTCTCACTGCCCTTGAGCTAAAGTTTATATTCTTTAAGATATTTTACAAGGCCTTTCTACCTCTTCAGCCTTTTCTCTCAGCATTACCCTCTCCCCAAACTGGTTTAAAGAAGAATTTAACCTTGTCTGTACTCTCTTGCATCTCTCTGGACTTTTGTACCAGCTGTTCCCTGTTTGGAACATTCTCCTGGCCTCCCTTTCCCTTCTCCTGGTTAACTCCTCCCTTTCCGGTATCAGTTGAAACACCAGTCCCTCTGAGCAGCTTTCCACACTGAGAGTAGGTTAGCTACCCCTGCTGTGTACTGCCATTGCACTCTGCACTCTCCCGTGGTCATCCTCATCACAGTTCATTTCGTTGCCTACTTAATTGCCTGGCTTCTTGACTAGACAATAAAACCTCTGATCAGCTCTGTCCTTATCAGTAGTGTATCCATAGCACCTAGCACAGTACTTGACACCTAAGAAGCGATCAATATTTGTTGTATGACTGACTGAATGAATATAAAGCAATTTTTACTTTTCAGTCTATTCAAAATGTGCGTGTGTGCACACACACACGCGCACACACACACACATACACCTTCCTCAAAATACAGCTTGGCCAACAAGGACTAAGAAATAGCTACAAAGCTGTGTATTCTGCTTGGTGGGAGAGAAGCTGCTGGTGAGACATGAGAACTCTTTAAGCCTTAATTTCCTTGTCTGTAAGAAGGGAATAATAAAATATTCCTTATATAATTCAATAAACAATAGCTTTTTTAAAAAGTAAACAATAGCTATTGTATCTAGATCCCAATTCCCAAATAGTGATGGAGCTCATGTTCTCTTGCTCAGAAGAAATCAAGCCCATGACTGAAACTGCCCACCAGGTGGCAGTATTATTCTGGACTGGTCCTGTTCGGCTTCCACTGCAGAGCCATCCCAGCAGACATGAGGAAGCAAAAGGGACAACCATCTGGGCTCCTTCCCCAGAGCTTTGGGTGAAACCCAGGGGGGGGATCAACTCAGAGACAAAGGCACATGTGCTCCTTTTCTCATCCCATGATCCTCTGAGGCACTGTTTATGCTTACAAATAAGCATTTTCTAGCTTGCCATTCACACTGGAGGGAGTTGCCCCCCTTTTAGATAAGTTTTTTATCCCCTCAAAGCTTCCAGCTACCACTTGCCATGGAGACTGTGTTAAGAAGAGAGGCAAATTTGCTTTCTCAGACTGCGGAAGGCATCTCATTATTCTGGGACCCATTTCTAGGACGTGGGGAGTGGCAGAAGCCAGAGTTATTCTTGGTTATAGACTTTACTCATCCTTTTCCACCTTGATTTCAATGAATGAGCTCAAGTCAGGACAGCAAGTTTTGTGGGATTGGTCAAAAGATGGGGAGACAGGTCCATTCTCATCACCTCCCTCATCTTCCTGGAAATTAGGATTATAAAGTTCTGGTGGAAGGAGCTGGGCTTCAGCAGAAGGCATTCTGTCTGAGGGAGGCCCGTATACACGGTTAGCTTTAGTGCCATGCTTAGAGTTAGCATCCAGATGGTAGCAGAGCTCTGTGAGGCGTTGGGCCCGGAAACGGGGAGGGCGGGCCACCCAGACACCTGGCTCATTAAGACTGTCCTCTTCATCTGACATCAGCTCTTCTGTCACATCCTTCCACAGGTGTTGGTCTTCAGGTCCAAAATGCCTCATGATACTGGATCGGTTGGCAAAAAGCTAAGGTAGGAGCCCAGGACAGAGATTAGGAAGAGAAACAGACTATAGATTAGATCTGGGGGAAGGGTTTGGGTCGAGAGGGAGGTGTGTGTGTAAACTCTGCCTAAGGAAACCCAGTCCCCAAGTCAAATCAGGATTGGCTCCCCTCCTTCTCCTCTATCGGCCTACATTCCTGGCTCTCAACCATACTCTCAGATGCCATGTCCTCTGGCCCTTTCTATGTGGCTTATTAAGGTTTAGAGTTTACCATTTTGAAAGGAAGGCCTAGAAACCTACCCGGTATCGGCGACTTCGAAGTTTCTTCTCCTCTTTTTCTTTCAGGCCTTTAAAGGGGTTCAGAGAGTTACGGTACTCACGCCTCTTTGTAAGGAAGTAGGCCACACAGGCTCCTGGAGGGAGGGGAAGGAAGGGAGCAAGAATAGGCACCACAGCCCTTTTTTCTGCCCTAATGAGGCATTCCTACTGAATGGGAGGGAGGTTGGGAAACACTGTTTAGATGATGGGCTTTCTTGGCATACCCACCGCCATCTATTCACTCCTCTTCGGTTTAGCTCTCTTTGCCCACCTCCATCTCCAACACTAATTCCTGAATATCTCCCAGTAGAAAATGATAACTCCAATTGCTTCTATGTCCCTCCACCACCTTAAACCTACCCCTATTGACACTCTGCTGATAGCAGATTACAAGTACTTTTTCAGCAGAAGCTTTCATAATACTTCAGGGTTAGCTACAAATAACAGAAGTGAGCATGGAAAGTAGAATACCCAGGACATATTTAGGGACAGAAGGGCAGGCCTGGCTTCTGACCTCCTCATTATAACACTTCAGATTCAGACCCTGCATAAACATAATGCATGATGGTGTTCTGGCCCTTTCCTTCTCCCATTTTTATTTCAGACTGAGTATGGGAATAAAAAGGCAATTTGGGGTAATCTTATGAATATATATATTATAGGTGAGAATAGCAAAGAAAGGGCTTTAAATCCACTATTAACAAAACCGCCTAATTGATCTTCATTATGCCTCTTCTCTGACCAACAATGGGCAGGGGGAAAGGATGGGATGGCAGTTAAATCAGTTTTTCTCACCTTTCAGCTCCTTGTCAGTGTAGTTGTGGGGACTGGTCACCAGCTCCTGCTTGAGCTTTTCCAGAAGGAACTTCACTACTGATATATTCCAAGAGGACTTGATGCTACCACAAGGAGAAAGGAGTAAATAAGGCAGTTAGCTTTTTTTTTTTTTCCTTTTTGTCTTTTTTCGTGACCGGTAACAGGATCACAACCCTCAGTGTCGTGCCCGTACTGCGACTGGCAACAGGATCGCAACGCTCGGTGTCACGCCCGCACCGCGCTCAACCAGTGAGCGGACCGGTCTCTATATGGGATCTGAACCCTCGGCGGGAGCGCTGCTGCACTCCCAAGCGCTGCACTCTACCGAGTGCACCACCGGGCGGGCCCAGGCAGTTAGCTTTTTAAGAGCCAAACAAACAAATACCCAGGACTAATCAACTTTGTGGTAGATTCCTCCATGGCCCAAGACAAGATACAAGGGACAATGGAAAGATCGAAGGCTTACCCTGATTATTTCACTGGAGCATCCCCCTCTACTTCCCTCTCCTTAGCAAAGTACCTTGTGATTCTTTTTCTTCAAGAAGACCATACCTTTCAGACCCATTGAATCTCTTGTCATTGGTGATGTGGTTATGCACATTGTGGACCAATTTCTAGGGGGAAAAAAACAGAATCAAGCCAGGAGCGGATATTATGAAAACTCTCCCCTGGTCCCTAGGGTAAAAGGCATTGTCCCTATAGGTTTCTTTCCCTGAATTCTTCCAATAGCCTTAGTGCTTTTTTTGTAGATGCCCTTTCTTAGCCAGACAGCCTATCCAAGGTAGTATTTCTTTTTTCTTTTTGGCAGCCTGTTGGTATGGGCATCTGAACCCTTGACCTGGGTGTTATAATACCATGTTCTAACAAACTGAGCTAACTGGCCAGCCCAAGTTAGCATTTTTTTTTTTTTTTAAGATGGCCAGTAATGGGATCTTAACCCTTGACTTGATGTTATCAGCACCATGCTCTCCCAAGTGAGCTAACCAGCCATCCCTATATAGGGATCCGAACCCATGGCCTTGATGCCATGAGCACCACACTCTCAAGTGAGCCACAGGCTGGCTCCCCAAGTGAGCATTTCTAATTGGAACTTTTTTCCCCCTTTCATTTAATTTATATTAAGATTCTAGGACCATTCCTGATTTTACTACTGTTTCTGAGTAATGTGATCACTGGAACAGGGAGTCTCAAACATTTCTACTAATACACCCCTAGTAGCAAGGAGAGAGTAAATATACATACACCAAGGCTACTACAAGTGGACATTTATTAAAGCCCCCTACTCTTGCAAATTTACAGTTTTTCCTCAAAATACATCTGTATTTCTTTTAATATAAAAATGTTTTCTGAAATCTTCTAGTAAAATTGATGACCCACAAAAAGCCCCAGGTTTGTCCATGGCATGCTTGCATGCATGTGCATGCACTCTCTCAAACTCTCTCTTTCTCTCTCTCTCTCTCTCTCTCTCTCTCTCTCTCTCTCTCTCTATATATATATATATATATATATATATATATATATATATTTGCACATTGCCACAAATCCCAGGAGTACACACACCATGATCTGAAAAACACAAATCTAAAATAACAGAAATGTGAGTTGGAAAGGACCTTGGAGGGCTGGCTGGTTGGTTAGCTCAGTTGGTTAGAGTGCAGTGTTATAACACCAGTGTTAAGGGTTTGGATCCCCATACCAGCCAGATGCCAAAAAAAAAAAAAAAAAAGATGGAAAGAACCTTACAGACTATTTCACACAATCTCCCTTTCACATCATTAAACGGGCTGTCTTTTAGCTTTGCTTGTACATGTCTAAAGACTCCTTTTGGAGTCAGCTTATTCTGTTGTTGAACATTTCTTTTTTTTTGAATCTAACTCATCAGCTGAGATCTGGCCAAAGGGAGCATTACTTCCCTGAGTAGAACTCTATACTTGTCAGAATGAAACCCAAGATGGTGTTACTTTCACCCCCACTCACAGTATCACAGAGTTCATTCATAGTGAGCTTGGAATCTAACTCATCAGCTGAGATCTGGCCAAAGGGAGCATTACTTCCCTGAGTAGAACTCTACACTTGTCAGAATGAAACCCAAGATGGTGTTACTTTCACCCCCACTCACAGTATCACAGAGTTCATTCATAGTGAGCTTTTAGTCAACTCAGGTCCATTTTTTCTCATGGATTACTGTTTCCACCATTCTGCAACTGGTTTTTTAAATTTTTATGCAGGATTTTACATTTCCTTCTATTAAATTTAGTTTTGGTTTTTCTGATTATATTTTCATCCTAAGCTGCCTCAGTCAATGGACGTTACCCAGTATCAAATTAACTGATTTATATCCTAGGGCCAGCCGTGGCTCATGTGAGAGAGTGTGGTGCTGATAAAACCAAGGCCACGGGCTCGGATCCCTATATAGGGATGGCTGGTTAGCTCACTTGGGAGAGCGTGGTGCTGACAACACCAAGTCAAAGGTTAAGATCGCCTTACCAGTCATCTTTAAAACAACAACAACAAAAAAAAAACCAGATTCATATCCTGACCTAAGGGCTTCAGCTCCATATTCAGAAATCCCCAATTTATCCTTCTACCTCTATGGCTGACTGACAATACCAACTTAGGAAAGTATTATCAACTCTTTATAGCTAGGATCTCCAGTCTATAAAAAAGACATTGTACTAGCTTCATATTCGACATAGTTATTTTACCTGTTAGAAGTCCAAACCTAAGGAATCACAAAGGAATAGGTGAATGCTCCAGAAAGAATTTGGGAGAGTTTTAAAAAAGAAGGGAAAAAGAGAATTGCATAGCTTCCAAGTGGCGTGAAAGAGATCCGCTGATAAAAATCCAACCAGGCTTGAAGTGGAAAAGGAAAAATACTCTAGACAATAAGCAGTTTTAAGACTGTAAAGGCTGCTGGCTCACCTACCTCCTGAGTGAGCTAAAAATAAATACATTTCCTCAAGGGGTGTCTGGAATCTGCAGCCTTCCCAGGAATTTTAAAAGTTCTGGTTTGGTCCTTTTGGTTCACAGGATCCCTAGCAGCAATCTACAGGAGCCCCAGCCAATTGGAGAGATGCCTCTTTGATTCCTTCCTAGGACTAAAGATTGGAACAGTGAAGATCTGCAACTATTCCTCCCCCTCTAAACCCACAGTCTGGCACAAGAACATTTTAAACCTTCCTCTGTGGTGGGCAGCGAAAATCCCCGACTGGTCCACTAGATCCTCTTCAAGCACTATAATAGAAGAAGGAAGAAGGAGTATAAGGAAGAAGCCAGGCCTCAACACTATATCTCTCTGGAGGCAGGAGGCAGGAATGGAATGGAAGTGATGGAGAATCCTGATTTTATGCAAGTTATACTTATCACACATTTATTTATGATTTAAACACTATGAAGTTTTGGGAAATCCCTTGAAATGCATTTCTAGGTACATGCTTCCATTTCTGTTACTAGCAGCAAGAGTGGTCCTCTTGGACCATAAATCCATGACAGAAAAACTGAACTCATCCCCTATTCTTGATAAGTGAGGAAATGTCCCCAAACATAACCAAAATTCAAAATGAAGATTAGAAACAATTTTATACTGATTGTGAATGGTATCTTTCCAGGAAAAAAAGAATCCATCAATGTAAAAACAAATCGAATGAAAGGAAGAGTAAGACGGTATCTGAGAAAAAGAAAAGGAAGAAGGAAGTAATACAGATAAAGGAGGTATAATGGTAATTCTCCAGACACGTTTTCAGTCTTTACTACGACTATAACAAGAAGAAATGGGCTATATATTATGATGGGATTTAGGTTGGATGTGGGGTGTGACTTCTACTCCCAACCAGGACTCTCCAGTTACTTCACGTCAGCCTTTATCCAGAAAATGGAAACTCATTACAGTCAATAGGAATATTAAATGACAGGAACATCCCATGGTTATCAGAAAAAAGCTTTTTGGCACAAAGTTGATCCAAAAGACTGTGATCACCCTAGAAGGTTTCTCAGCCTCTGCACTATTTACATTTTGAGCTGGAAAATTCTGTTATGGGGGGGCTGTTGTGGGCATTGTAGGATGTTTAGCAGAATAACTGGCCTCTGCCCCTAGATGTCAGTAGCATTCTTCTCCCCCACCTCCCCACCCCCTACCCCAGTGGTAATGACCAGAAATGTCTCCAGATGTTTCCAAATGTCCTCTGGGGGCAAAATCACCCCAAGTTGAGAATGATTGCCCTGAAAGATCTCTAGGTTTGGCAGCTGCCAGGCTGGGGGCCCCCAGTTCAACAGGATGTTCCTAGAATATCCAGGCTGCACCAAGAAGGTTTCAGGCAGGCTTGGTTCAGGCCAGTCCCTTCCCTGACAAAAGCTCTTGGAATGACTAGAATCTCCAAAACTTTATAATGAATTGAGTGGCCTTCTGTATCTTTGGGGTTTGGGACCACCTCAGGACAGCTTGGCTTTTCCACCCAGGAAGCCCCTTGCCACTTACCCTGCACACTGACTAAATTTGCAAGCAGTTTCCAGTGCTGCCCTTTGGTGATCAGTCTGCTCAATCCCTTAATGATCTTCCCATTAGGATTATTAGAATACTGGGAGATGTGATATAATTCCCTTCTCTTTTAAAGGAAGGTATCATTTTATCTGGAAAAGCTTAAAAGCTAGACTGACACCAAGGGGACTGCCTACCCCTAGGGCTACAGAATAATGTCTCCTTATCCCTCCTACTCCAGTAGGATTTGGGATACCATTGATTCAATATGGGAAGCTTAAAATCAACCCACCCTTCACTCTTCACTTCTCTTTCCAAACTGAAGAAAAACATAGAAATTGAGCTCACTCACAGACAGTACCAGATCCCGCTTGCGCCTGGAGTTCTTCTGCCCACTTCCTCTGGTCCTGCATGGGGACGCAGTAAACCCTAGAGAGTGTCTTAGCTCCCCAGTGCTCCCAGGGCCTGTCTCTTCCAAGGTACTGTCCAGTGCAGCAGCAGCACTAAGCATGTCCTCCGGGCGGGGTGGTGGTGGCTTGGTTCCATTTTCTGGCCCCGTTTCTAAGGTTGCCCGCTGGATAGCCAGTTGTGTGGCCGGTGAGAGCTGCTTGGCATAAGCAGGGACCAGCACTCGCTGTACTGCACCCTCAGAAGCCACATAATCATCCACCAGCTAAGAACATAAAAAAAAGAACAGCCTATTAGCCAGCCAGGTTTGGGGGAACCTGGTCAACCATTACTCTTTGACCAAAAGTAGTGAACAGAGAATGGAGAGAAGGGGGAATCTAGCACAGTCTTTAATGGTCAATGGCTTATTTTTCTGTGACTCCTATGGGAGTGTTGGGCAAATGTTTCTTGTGTGTACAGGGCCTCTCATGCTGGGTCATTACTGTAGGGCTGCTTACAAGGATAAGACATGTTTCTGATGCTCTGTTTGTGAGTAGTCATTTATGGTTTGCTTTTGGGTATAAGAAATGTAGGTAGATAAGTGTTTTGTCCAAAAGGGGTTGAGGGAGGAAGCAATGACTAGAAAGGGAAACCAAACAAGAGAAGGAGCAAGTAAATAAAATGGTAACAACAATAAAGAGAAATAAAAGAAAAATGAGAGCAAAGGAGGGAGATATGAAGTCAGAAATCCCTAGAGGCTGGCACTGAGTGCTCCCCTTGCCCATCCTCCATTCCCTTCGCAGGGCCAGTCTGTGCCCCCACTTTGATCCTGCCCCAGCCACATCTGGCTGCCCTGACCCTGACATCTACCTGACTGCCTGTGCCCTCACTCAAGGACATAGGGCGCAGGAAAAGGAAGGAGAGAGCAAGGTAGAGAGAGGGAGGAAGAAAGGAGGGGGGAATTCTGCAGCCAAGAAAACAAAACAGTGAAAGTGGGGAAAAAACCACATGCACACAGAAAGAAGCGGGGGAGGAGGCTGAGATTTATAGACCTGTGAGATGCTTTCTGCGCTGTGAAATCTAATTCCATCCTGGCAGCTTGGAAGCCTTCCCTGCTTGAAAGAACCCACAGCTCAGGGCAGTGCCTGGCCTGGCACCCTCCTGCCTCCCACCTTCCAGTTCCTCCTCCTTCAGGCCTGAACCACTGAGAGTCCTGACCAGGCAGGCTGGGGTGAGCAGCAGTGCCCACTACCCACACAGCTGTGCCTTCGGAGAGCAATTACCAGTTGCCATGTTACACTGGAGAGGGAGAGAGGAGCTTCTATATTCACTCCTCAGATCTGGCAGATGGTCTGGGGGTTTCATCCCTCCCGTCTACCCTGTGTGTTCTGCTCCTTTAGTCTTTTCTGGGTGTCTAAGTCTCCTCATGGCAGGAAGAGGAAGAGAGAGAGGGCAGGCAGAGAATAAGGTGGAGGAGAGTCGACAGACCTCCCACTGTGTCTTAAGTGGCAACACATCTGTTATTTTCCCATCTCTATGATCGCTGTAGTGGCTCCATCTCCTTTTCTTACTTCCATGTGTGACATTCTGCAGTTCCTACTCTACCCAGCCAGGATTTTCCTCCTCATATGGCCCTTGAGCAGTAAAGAAACTGAAATAGCACAATGTACTTCTGTGTCTTTTCCTGCTCAAAAATATGCTCACTTGCTTCCGTCCTTTCTTCCCTCTTTCTCCCTATGTGTTGTTCTTTTACTATTAACTTTCAATTGTCAACTTTTCTGCATTTTATTTCCTTTTCTCTACCTCACTCTCACCTTACCTCTCGTATGTAAATTCTCTTTCCACTTAGCTTCGCCTTTCTTTATGCTCCTTTTTGCACTTTTTCTCCTTCCTCGCCCCTTCATTTCCACTGCCTCCTCCCCCATACCTGTCTTCTATCATCTTTATCTTTGTCCTTCCCTCTCTCTCCACTTCTGTCTCTCCCCTCCACATTCCCATCTCCCTCTGTACTGAACTCTTGGCATGCAGAGGGCCCATGATAAAATATGAATGAGCAGTCAGTGCACAGCAGGCATTCTCGCCAGGAGAGGCAGAGCCCATGGGGCAGCCGTGAGTGCCATACGGAGCTATGGAGAGAGAGCAAAGGACATTCCCGTCACCACACACACCAAAAACTGACCTCTGCCAAAGAGGCTGAAGAGGAAAACAGGAGTGCTGACTATCCCTGAAGGCAAAGGGAATTTGGTATTTATCACAAATACAAACAAAAGAAAGATTTAAAGATGGAAAGAAAAGAGAGAAGAGAAAGAGAGAAAAAGAGGCCAAGGAAGAGCACTAAAGGGCAACAACACTCTCCTGCTGCACTCACGGGATTGAGCAGCGGGGCACCCTCGCTGGCAGCCAGGGCGCACGCTGGGAGCCGCTGGTCTCTCTGTGTGGCTGGGAAGCCCAGCGGCCCAGGCCCCACTGCCGAAGCTGCGCCCAGCTGCCACAGCTCCTCGATCACCACCTGCACACCGCTGCCCACACCATCACACTCCTCCTCCACAGCAGACAGGGCTTTGCAGGCTTCTCCGGGGCTCTCCTTGAGAGGCCCAGGCTCCTCAGGTGGGGAACTACGTGCCTGGCTTTCCCCGTCTTCATCAGGGGTGGATACTTTCCCCTGCCTTAGCTCACCCACTTCCTCCTGGAGACGTTTTAACAACTCATTGTTGGCCTTGGCGAGACCCAGGGCGGCCTCAGCCAGACCCACTGCCTTGTCCACCCGCTGGTAGATGATATGCAGGAGCTGCTCTGAGCTCTGAACAGCCAGGCCATGTCCAGTCACTGTGATGGGGGTGCTGGGAGGAGGATTCCCACCCTGAGAGCCTGTGCTGGCCCCGCTAGTCTCGCTCTTACAGGCACAGCAGCAGCATCTGGCCTCGCTGCCACTGGGAGGGGAGAAGAGAATGGTGGCACTGAAGGACATGGTTGATGGGGGCAGTAACAACTGGCTCACACCACCAGACCGCTCCAAAAGCTGTCTTCGTCAACCGGACTTCACAAGTTTGGAAGGAAGCACTGGCCTCTTTGGATTAACTTTCCTTTCTCATCAAGAGTGGTCAGAGGGGCCCGGGCACCAGGCCATGTTCTGTGAAGGAGGAGTAGGCAAGTCATGAACGAGCACACAGTCCATGGCTGCCTTTCCTCAGCCTGCGGAGGGGAGAGAGATGCTTCTTCTATTTGCAGATCCTAGGCTCCCCTTGCATAACACACTGAGTGTCACATTCGCCCCTTACTGAAAGGGTGACGCCTACAAAGGTCTTCCTGATGAACACAGTTTCAAAGTGTAGAAGGCATTCCTCTGCACTCAAGCATAGAACTCTCCACCACTGCAACCTAAGGAACAGAGAGGGGACTCAAAAGTACCCACTGGTATCTGGAAAGATCAGAAGATTAAGGAAGAAAATGTAGATGTGTCTCTTCCTCTTCCTCCTCCTTACTATCTTTACTGTAATAACAATATCTTATTTTTCTCCTTTGATATCATCCCTTAAGGAGTTAGAACACTTCATGTAGGTTATCTCATCTACACAACAGCGCTAGGAAACACATATTACCCCAGGCCCAGAAAAGAGACACACAGAGAAGTTTTATGTCTTTTTCAAGGTCAGAGGAATACAGTAAAATACAGTTATTGCTACTTTCAATTTAGTGTTGTATATTTTTTAACTGATACCACTTTTTTTTTTTTTTTAAGATGACCAGTAAGGAGATCTTAACCCTTGACTTGGTGGTATCAGCACCACGCTCACCCAGTGAGCTAACCGGCCATCCCTATATGGGATCCGAACCCGTGGCCTTGGTGTTATCAGCACCACACTCTCCCGAGTGAGCCACGGGCCGGCCCCTGATACCACTTTTTTGTTGACATAAACCATCATGATTCTTCCTCTATAATTTTCATTCAGAGTAAGACTCCTAAATAAGGAATACATGGATCACTGCAGCCCCCAACATGTCACCAACCTCTCACTATTGCATCATAAATGTTTTGGGGATGGGGGTAGGGAAATGAAATGAAAAGCCGGATCAGGGAACTGAGATGGGGTAACCCAGGGCTGCACAGCCCCTCTGCTCTCATAGTTGTATACCTGGGCCTCTAGCCCGGGCAAAGGAAACTAGCTGTCCTGAATCCTCCAGTCAGCAGCCCAGAAAAATCAACTGTGGGGCCCCTTGTCTCCACTTCTCATGCTCTGTAAGGGAGAAGCCAAAGTTCAACAAGAATGTTTAAGTAGCTATGCTGCCACTTTGCCTACATGACCAGCCCCCATAAAAGGAGAAACTAGAATATCAGTGATAAACCAAACTGCCTATCTTGAATTACTGTAGTTAAGCAACCAAACTACTCCAGAAGGGAAAAAAAAATAAAGGAGGGGGGGGTTTGATTTGTACCACTAAGAACACTCCAAGGAACTTAATAAATATTGTCATTTTCTAAATGATACTTGATTATAGAAAAAAGAATCCTTCTGCTTAAAGCTCCATAAGTGACAAAACCTTAAGTATGTTTACAATTTCCTTGAGAAATACATTTCCATCTTACTCTGTAAATTATATCATAACATCACAAAAGAGGAGGAGGAGGTTAGGAGAATTTTCTATACATTGAAGGGTTTTTTTTTTTTTTTTTTTTTTTTTTGAATCAGCAATCTCATTTCAGAAACAGGCAATATCAATGCCTCTGAGATACTAAGACATAAATCTGACAATGCATTTTAATTACATTTGGTTATTAAAGAATAGTCTTTAATTTGCTCTTTCTACCACATATATCGAAAAAATGGCTTTTCTGTGACAGGTATTCACTTCTTGCAAGAACTTAACTCAAATCCATTTACCACCTCCCTGTCATTAAAGTCACTGGAAGGCACAGCTAAACCTGAAACTAAAGGTTAAACCAAATTAAAACTAAAGGTTAAAGGAAAGCACTAAGCGATTCCATGTCAACTTATAGATGAATCATTCACGTATTATTTTCCTTCCTAAATAAGGGTCTACACTGCTTCTATAGGGTTTTTTTTGTTTTTGTTTTTAAAACCAACATCATGCAAGGAGTTTAGCCTTATACATGGAAGCTGTGAGAAAAAGAAAATTATGTTTTGCTAATAGTAGATGGCAGTATACAAATGCTTCACAAATGGGTTCAGTATTTGTAAAGTCAGGAATTAAGATGCATCAGATTGGGACACTGGGCTGTCCAACCCCCTTCAGGTGCCAAAGTGACAATTGCTGTACTCAGTTCTCTTGCCTTGCACACTTAATCTTTCTTGCAAGAGACTTTTTTTTTTGGCAGCTGACTGGTATGGGGATCTGAACCTGTGACCTTGGTGTTATAAGGATGTACTCTAACCAACTGAGCTATCCAGCCAGCCCGTTGCAAGAGACTGTTACCTCTACCAGTGTTAAGCCTGCCTCAAGGCCTTCCCTTCTCCTTTAGCCAGTGAGCATTGTTTTTTTTTGTTTTGTTTTGTTTTGTTTTTTTGACCAGTAAGGGGATTGCAACCCTCGGCATGGTGTGGTCTGCACCACTCTCGGCCAGTGAGCACACACTGGCCATCCCTATATAGGATCCGAACCCGTGGCCTCAGCTCTACCAGCGCTGCACTCTCCCAAGTGAGCCATGGGGCCGGCCCCTTCCCTTCTCCTTTAAATGGTCTTTCTTCAGTCACCTTTCCAAAACAGCTCTGTACTGCAGGAAAAAAAAAAAATGAGGTTCTTATCTGGCAGCACCACTTATAGGCTGTGTGAACCTGAGCAAATTATTTCAGTTTTCTGAGTTCCAGTCTTCTCATCTCTGCCTACTTTGAGTGTTCTTGTGAAGATTATACATAATATATATTAGGTACCTACAGAGTGCTGGCACATGGTTGGGACTCCACAAATAGCAGCTGGATGATATTATGATTATTCCTGTAAATTTTTGTTTTCCCACCCTGGACACCATCCTGATTCCTTAATTCTGAATAAAATGCAGTGGCTTGAAATGGAATTTGGGAAAATTTGTCCCTAAATTTAATATCAAATTTCTAAGAAACAATAAGTTCTAGTCTGTAAGCATGCATTTGTAAGTATAAAACCTTCTGTGATGCAAATTAGAAAGGTAATTGAGAAAATAGTATTTGCAATTTACTTACTATCATGACTAGGCCTTATACTAAGGATAATACTTAACTCTGGGCTGGCTGGTTAGTTTGGTTGGTTAGAGTATGGTGCTGATAACACCAAGGGCCAGGGTTCAATCTTTAAACCAGCTAGCTGCCAAAAAAAAAAAAAGAAAGAAAGAAAGATACTGAACTCTGCTAGTTTTTTTTTTTTTTTTTTAAAGATGACCGGTAAGGGGATCTCAACCCTTGGATTGGTGTTGTCAGCACCCCGCTCAGCCAGTGAGCGAACCAGCCATCCCTATATGGGATCCGAACCCGTGGCCTTGGTGTTATCAGCACCGCACTCTCCCGAGTGAGCCACGGGCTGGTCCCAAACTCTGCTAGTTTTTAATTCTAAGTGTATTTTCCTATTTTGAGTTCACTTTGTTCCTCCATTTCCTTTCTGCTTTTCTACTTTGAGTATTACCATACTATGCCCATTTAAAATATTGCATTCAGGGCAACAAATAGGTGTTTTCTTGAATTAAGCTGTCTATTAAAAACCTAATACAGTGCAATGCAGCACAATGTACATTCAAATAACTCTTTTTTGGTTTCCATGGACACTTGCTGACTTGATTTCTGTGCCTCCTGCTATAGTCTCCCACCTAAACTCTAAGACATGGAAAGAAATTGGGGTCAGCAGGTAATAAAGGAGTATTTTACATTACATTTATTAACCAGACAACTTAAATGCTGGATCAGTGATTAAAAACGAAACACTAATTTCCATACTGGCATATATTACCATTAGAGAATGTAAGTGGGGGCTAGCCTGTTAGTTGGTTAGAGTGTGGTGTTCTAACACCAAGGTCAAGGGTTCAGATCCCCATACCAGCCAGCCATCCCACCCCCGCCAAAAACCAAAAAAAGACTAGAAAAGGTAAGTGGGAAAAAAAAAGCTGTTTCTGAAAATTCTCTATATGTAAGGCCATGTAAAAGATGATTCACCAAAATGGATTGCTACCAAGTATTCAAATGAAGAACAAAGTCCCTACATGCCAGGAGCTTACAACATATTTGAAAATGGGAATGCCTGAAGAACATGAAATGTTCTAAACATGGAATAAAAACAAAGCAAAATACACACAAGTGTCTAAAAATATGATATAGATGAAAAAAATTCCTGGGGAGTTTACTTCAAAATAATGGAAAGATCAACAGAATGAAATCATACAAGAGTTCTTATAGAAGAAAAACCTCCAAATGAGCCTTGAGCAATGTACAAAATGAACTGGTAGGGTGGTAAGACATTCTAGAAAGAAAAAACAAATATTACAGGACTTAACAGGTACATCTGAGAGGTCAGAGGAAAAGGGCTTATACAGTAAAGTGAAGAGAGTTAATAGAGGACTTTGAAACCAAGTTGAGGAAACTCTTAAAGCAGGGGTCAGCTAGAGAACCTTAAGCTAGTGACAGAAAAATGCAAGAGTAATTATGTCACATCTGGAGTACTAGAAAAGAACTTATAGATTGTAACAGATAATGTGGTAGTGTCTATAATATAGTTCTATTATCAATTTGAATTATTCATACTGAGAAAAATCTCTCCAAAGTAAAAAGAGTGTCTTCATAGCATACAACTTATTTCCCAGGGAATAAACTTTATTATATCTTTTTTGTTGGTGGTGGTGGCTGGCACGGGGATCTGAACCCTTGACCTTAGCGTGTGTTATAACACTGCGTGCTCTAACCATCCAGGCTAACCAGCCAGCCCTATTATGATATCTTTATTTTACTTTTCATATATAACTATTTAATTCAATAATCCATGAAGCAATCTATGGAATGTTTGGCAGAGCAATAGTTAACACTAGTAAATTATCCAGGCAATGTCATTATTGTTAATTTTTTCCCCAATCTATTATTAAATATTAATACTGTCAACTTTTGAAATTTCAGATTGCTAAATAATTTTTTTAAAACCAAGTTTATATTTTTGTTCAAGAAAGAAAAAATAGGAATAAACAAGATGGACCACCATAGAATAATATTCATGCCTTTTACAAAATGCTATCAACTTTTAGAATTGGGTGTTAAGAAAAAAATCTTCATTCAATCTTATGATGAGTTGCCAACACAATGTGACAGTAGATGTCAAACTCAGGTTTGACATAAAATATAAAATATATGTGTTTGGAGTTCATTTCAGTATTGGTCTAATTTTAATACATGTGAAATGAGCCTAGAAAATATACTTTTCTGTAATTTTGATATTTTTCATAAGTATTTAGATAAAAAAAAAAAGGAAGAAAACTCATCTCCTTCAGATAGACAGCTCATGGTGAGACTGTCCCTAATCTTAACTATCCCTTTCCTCCCAAGTCACATGTATTTTTGTTAGGACTAAATATATCATACTCTTGGCAGTTCCCTTGCTTGCTTTCTCCCCATTCTGAGTTTAAATTTTCTGCATGACTGCTTTCACCTCCAAACTATAAAAAATAAAAGTTTTCTCACTATTTAATAGTGTATGATATGGTATCACTCAGATGATGTATGTTTTTATAACAGGTCCTTGACTCATTCGGGGTCATGCTAGCAATGGACTTCCTTAAATATGATTACTGGAAGCACGGCAATTCATATCATAATCTTCATTTTAAAAATGAAATAAAGGATAATGGCCACTTAAAACTTCCTGCTATGCTGGTCAGCCCTGCTCTTCCATTTCAAGGTGTAAAATGGCTCACCTGTTAGAGGGTCCTCTCAAAACCTATTTCTATCAGAAACAAGCTGCTGGGCTGGCCCGTGGCTCACTCGGGAGAGTGTGGTGCTGATAACACCAAGGCCACGGGTTCGGATCCCATATAGGGATGGCCGGTTAGCTCATTAGGTGAGCGTGGTGCTGACAACACCAAGTCAAGGGTTAAGATCCCCTTACCAGTCATCTTTAAAAAAAAAGAAAGAAAGAAACAAGCTGCTTATCACACCAGACCAGGTACACAAATACCATAATATACAATTTTCCTACATTTGAAAAGAGTGACGTCTGTAATGAGCTGCAAAAAAAACCTAAGACTTCATTTTTAGGGGTAAAAAAAAAAAAGAACTGTATACTCAGAGGGCAGAATGGGGTCTTAAAAAGATTCCATGTAATCCGAAAATTCCAAGTACACTTGTACAGTAGGACAAGAGTTTTTAACCCAATACAGTATTCCTTTTTATTTGCATTTGCTAAAGTGCAAGTTGGTAAGATTAAAATTCCGGTTTCAGGCTTTCATATAAATGTGCTCGGAGGACTCTTGCTGCCTTTCTGGAAAAAAAGAAAAATGAAAAACTAGCTCATAGAACTCTGTCAGGTGCCCAGCGAGCCCTCGGTAAATGTTAGTTGATTAAATTTTAGTCAAAGATGACAAGGTGGGCACCAGGGACAGCAGAACCATTTCGGATGAGACACGGTGAAATCAGCTACTGAAAGGGAGGTCGCAGTGTCGCAGGCAACACAGAGATCGGGCACTGCTCTCGAGGCCGTAGGGGACAGGGCGACCCGCCACTGTGCCCAACCATCGTGTGCCCTGGGGGGCCCAGGGAAAGAGGGTAATTCCGGGGAGGGCGGCGGAGAGCGGAGTGGCCCGAGGCGCGGTCGTGAATCTCGCCGGATCACCGTGGGTAGACTACAAGACCACGAAAGCTCTGAGGACTTGGGCTGAGGGTGGCGCTCTCCGCGGGACTGGCGCTAGGCTCCCGCTTTATCAGCCCCACGAGCGTTCCACCGCGTGTTCCCCGCGCTACCGCGCCCGCTGACTCGGCTAGGCCGAGGCGGGCGCCCGGACTGCCCGAATTGGCGGCGCCCGCTCGTGTACCCGGCAAGCGCGCGCACGCGGGGAGGCACAGTCCCGCACACAGTCCCGCGGACCCTCCGTCTCCCGGTGATTGGCGGTTGAGCGACGAGGGAGTAAGTCCAGGGACGCCTATTGGCTGCAATTCACAGTCAGTCGACGAGCCAGGGAGGGGGGGCCTCTTCAGGGAGGGAAACGACTGCGAGCCTTTTTCAAGGCCGTCAGGCGCCATCTTTAGCTCGTTTTTTGGTTTACTCGCTATTGTTCTCAGCTGCTCACAAAGCTGTGTGTACACGACTATAAGTACATTGGCCACAAATAGGTTTCATACGTTTGGTGATGGCCGGCTTTTAGTTCCTGCTGGCCTTGGTTACAGATCTTTCCGATATCACTTGTAAAGTGGCAGTTCCTCTTAGTGCAAAGGAGTTTTCACTTCTAGGGGCCCCGCGGATTCCCAAGCAAACTCAACTGAGTTTTAGTTTTGCTTTGCTTTGCTAAGAAGACCGTGTGAGGAATTCTCCTTTCTTATAAAGAGAGAAACTTAAAACGAGGACATTGGATATGAACCTAGGTTCTCAGATGGAGAAATCAAATAGCCTAGGAAATCAGGACACGGGCTGTGTACTGCTCTGGGAGATCTCTCCCATAATGAGAAGCTAAAAAGTGAGGTAAAGGTGTACGTGATGACCTGCAGTGATGCGGAAAGGAGCTAGAAAGGGCAAACTCCATTAAAAATTCCTATCACTGTTGTGATCACAAAGGTCACTAGAATCTGACTAGATTTCAAAGAAATGCAGATCTAAACTTGTGGAATGATCCACATTCGAGCCAGTATTTATTAGGCACTGATTGACTTGCACTGATAAGGGAATAAAAATACCTAGTGCAGGTAAGAAACCGAGAGAGCCCCTTTCAGGGCCACTTTCGTTATTGTACAAATAATTTTACTGCAGTAGTTATTTACGTGTCTTAAGTACTGCTTGAAATAGAGGAGGGCACTAGCTGAGGAATGGAAATGTATTATCATCACACAGAGGTTTTGTTGAAATGAAATCTGAACTCCAGAGTAGATACTTTTTTGTCTTCAGGTTGCTACTACACTTGTGACATTCCAGTTTCTCCCTCATGACCCCATATATTTCCTATGCTTTCACTCCAATCTGCGAATACAGATTTGGATACAGGTGAGGAGACAAGATTGGTTTTGTTTTTTAACAATGAAGTGAGAATATGGCTCTGATAACAGGAGGCTCTGATCCGAGCCTGTTGTTCTCTGTGACACCAAGAGAAGGCTTTTCGTTCCAAAAATGCAACATATTCAAAATGCATTTCTTATCCCTCCTACTATTTGCTTTTGCCTCCTCTTGGCCCCCCATCACCATCACCGTGAACGATGTTCGAGAATTGGACTTGAGTGGATCTTCTCCTGATACTTTGCCAGCTGTGGAGTTTTTCAAACAACTCCCAACAAATAAACGACCATTTTGTCAAAAAGCCAAGAAAGAAGTTTCCTTCACTATACACCAACCAAACCACACATAAAGGCCAAAATATACACAGCTGTACATTTAAGAACGTGAGACAATAAAAGGGAAAAGCATTTAGGCAAAACAGCCACTAAAGAAGGCTTTGAACCACAGATTCAATAAATTGTCTATCCTCATTTGCCACATGGACTATATACTCCCTGGCAATTATTTAATTATTCACTATCTGATCCTTTACAAGGAGCAGAAAAATATACTAAATGCACATAGAATGAAAGTGCCTAAGTATGGTAGGAAAAGGGTTTCTTCTAAGTTCTACTTTGCACACGAAACCCTATTTTTATCACAATTGGGAACACAACAGAAAACACACACACATCCTAGGTGCTGCTTTGCACACATAAAACAAAAGGTAATCACTTTTGGAAATACAATCTGATATGGTACATATACGCATACTGTACATTACAAAAAGAATAAATCCCAAGATAAATTACAAAATTATTTGCTTCAATCAACACACACACGCGCACACAGAGAAATTTCCTCAAGAAAATGTGTGTGCAAGACACATTGTAAGGACTCCTCCCCTCCCCAGGGAAATGAGTGTCTCAATTATATTATCCCAATATTTTTAACCTATTGGCCTTGGACAATTGCCACAGCCGAGCCACTTGGTTTTGGTTCTAGGGTCGGGTGTGTAAAACGCACGCCAAGGCTTTGTGAGGGAGCCTCAAATCTCTGCTTCGTTCGACGTTGCCTGTGGCAGAAATTTACATTATCCCCTCAGCCCACTTAAAAAAGAAATCTATACTTCCCAAGCGGCTATATTTTTTAAATCCCTCCACCACAAAAATTTACCAGTTCTTAAAATGTGATAACAAAAAGAAAAAAAATCCCTATAAATTTGGCTGGAAACAGTTGTACACGGCCATCCTGCGTCTCAACTTCTTGGTATATTTAAAACATTGACCAGGAAAAAGAAAGAGGAAGAGAGACAGAAAAAGAAATGGGGGAAAGAGCAAATTCCCCTTAGCAACAGTTTCCTCACCCCAGCACTGCCACAGATCTCTATTTTTAAAAATTTTGAAAACACACACAAGACTAAGGAGGAAAAAAATGGAAAAAGGATACCCGAAGGTCGTATGGCTCTTTGTATTCGTGTGTGTGCAAAAAGGAGGACTCGCGGAGCTGGAGCCGGCAGGCCCCGCCCCTCCCCGGACGCCCGCC